AAAACTAAAGGAAAAAATATTTTTTGCTTTTCAAACAGACATATTTTTTTTCTGGAGCATTTTCAATGATTGCTGCAGGAATGAATGAGTAAAGGTTTCAAGAATGAATAGTTGCAGAAAACCAACTTACTTTGTACATAAGTCCATGCAGCAGCCCCCTGGGTAGAAGTACTTTTGTATCTCCTTTTGTTGAGTTCTCTATTTTTTTATGAATATGCATATTGGGGGAAAAACTTCCATCTGCTCTCTTTTAGCTGATTATATCACATTTTCGAGCTGTGCATCATTATGGAGCTTCAGAGAAAGATGATCATTTACATTACATATGGATATAAAGTAGAGAAGGAGTTGATGAATTGCAAACAAGTATAATTTATATGGACAAAGTGTGCCAAAAGTGCTTTTCACCCCATTTTACTCTGCAAATGGAATGATTCCTGCCCATTCACTTGGCGTGGTGCCCAAAAACTCGGAGAGGAAAATGATCCCGTTAGCCTTCTACATCAGGCTTCCATTCCTTCCCTAAGAGGAGACAGTGCTCTGTGCTCAGGCCCACCAGGGACCCCAGAAGGTGAAAGATCTCTGAACACACTGACGTCACTTTTAAGATTTTCCATCATGGCTTCTGAATTTATAATCTACATCATGCAGACATCCTAATACTCAGACTGTTGGTAATTGAAATGTGAGAAGTTTGCATGATGAAGAAAGAAAGAGAGAATAATGAAAAGCTCATATTTCCCTCTGTGCTGTGATTTTCCCATGACTGATCATTTGCCTAAATGCCTGTAAGCTTTGTAAATATGTGAAAATCTACATTTAAGGTGTCTTTCTAAGGTCTTCTGTATAGACTGTAGCACAGTCAGCTGTGAATCCATATTGTAAAGACCTGGGCCCAAGGTGCAGTAATGAAAGTAGTAGCCCAATCATTTTTATGTTATTTAATTTACTAATATGGGCATTTACTTATATAAGCCATCATTCAGTCCTCAAAAATGATTAGTCCTATTATGTGTCAAGAGTGAGGAGTCAAAGCTAAATACCACATCACCTCTTCCTAAACTGTCAGAACTCAACCAAGAAATATTCTGTCAGGACAAAACGGGCATTTATCTGTGAAGCTCTGGTGATTCTCTTTGCTACTGGAAGACACAACTGTCCTAGCCCTCAGACAATCTATGTCTGAAGAATTTCAAATTACTATGCGCCCAAGCCCATGCTGTGGTAGCATATGCACTGCTTTTATTTTATATTCATATATAAGTTTCTATGCATGCAGTGCATGCACTGCGCTGAGTGTTTTGCACACATTATCTCATTTAATCAACATGGAAGTATGAAATATTAGTATTATAGTATTAGTTTTTCATAGAGGAGGGAAAACTAAGCTCAGAGGATAAGTGACCTACCCAAAGTCACATAGTCTTTAAACCAAGACCTCTAGGTCAACATTGAGTGTGATCAGATTAATCCAACAATAAGATAAGAAGTAGCCTAAGGTAAGGGTTACTTCCATCTTAGCCCAGTAGCCAGAAAACCTGGTCAAATTTAGAAACTGCTGTTCTTTTACCTATATTTAGTCCCTATTCATTTTTCTCTCAACCTTTACATAAAATTAGCATGACTTCCCACTTTAGGAAGGAGTTCTTGAAGTGTGCATGCTGATTAGTTATACAGTTGTCTTTGTTGATGATGAGGGAATGGAAGCATGTGCGTGTGTGGCATGACAGAGTATCTAAAATTTCTTCATGTTATTTTTCTCAGAACTTAGGCTTGTAACGGAAGTTTCTCAACATAAAATGTCATCAATTTGGCCTCACACAGGAAGTTGCAAGGCGCTTGACTAACCTCAGTGAACTGGATGTTGTCTAAAACCTGATAATCTTTAGCTGACTCTCACTTTAGAAGTATTAGAAGTTATTTTATTTCTTAACTAATTATCTTAGAAATGTAATTGATAAAAAAAAGAAAAGCTTCTGATAAAATTTTCAGGGTTAAGATATATTGGTACTTATATCAGCAACAGAATTGGACGATGGGACAGAATTCAAATGATCTCATTTTTGTTCTTATCAAAAAATTATTATAAGGATTTTATCCATTTACCTAGAATAAAATTTCTCTAGCCATACACACTTTCACATCATACTTGAATTTGTAAACGTAAGATATTCCTAAGATCATAGCGTCCCAGAACAGTTTTACAACCTTTCTGTACTGAAAGACTCAGCTTGTTCCAGTGAGAGGCCCTGGCAAGATTCTAATGCAGATTATCTGAGCTAAAGAACTTTTACGGGCATAGTCTTGGGGAGCATATATGTTCTATGTCTCAATATTGTCGAATGAATAAATAAATGAACAAGACTGGGACTCTCACCAGGTTTCAGCCTAGAACCACAAAGCCAGTGTGATCATATGGTAACCATTAAAATGCCAACTTTCTAACCACCTTCACATCCACTCTTGAAAGCCTCAGACGCGTATTTATCTTCTAGCCAAGGGCTAGAAGATCTAAGTGGAAGGTCTAAGTCTTGCAACTCCCTCACAACCTTGGATGAACGATGTCTTTCCTTTTCACTCCTCTTTATCCAGCTTTCATGGCTGAGAGAAAAATCCAAGGAAGGTGAGCTGCAGGGATCCAGTATGTAAAATGAAGACAGCTGTACTCTCTTCAGTGTGGTATATACTTCAGCTATAGGTATCCTTTTCAGTTCTGTGCTATGTGATGGGGTCACCCTTCTAGCAACTTGAACTTCATGGAATCCAGTGTCTCTTCTTCTTCTTCAATCTCCTCAAGGCCTTTGCAGCACTTATGTTCAAAAGTATTTCCACAAATCCTTGACTGGATACCAGATGTTCATTTTAAAAGGATGAAAGTTGTGGCCGAGTACATTTCACCAGCAATTTCCACCATTTGACATTTAAGGGGTTCCTTAGATGGTTCCTAACCTACAATTTCTTGGTATCTTCATAAAGAACCTGTACTCTCCGGAAACTCCGTGAGGTAGCATGTTGATTAAAGTTTAAAAATTATGATCAGTGGCTGTGCAGTATCCAAGGAGGTCCTAGAATAATCTATTTGGAGTGGTGGCCATACCCAGGGAATGGGGCAATGATGGAGGAAGCATGTTAGAGGTTTGAAATTAAAACACTATTTCCTGCTGTGGAGAGAGAAGAATAGAAGTAGGCATGTGATTTACTCCTGACCTTGGCACTTCATATAGGATTAAATCTCATGAATTTGGAAAAATACACTAGAGATTAACAGTGTAATATTGTCTCCTAGCATTTGAAATAACACTTTGTGATTCCTCATTTTTCCTAAAGTATTATGTTTTACTATTCAAGAAACTGTTAAATAACTTTGGAAGCCATTTACCTATAGACTAAGTACATTGACTTAAACATAAATATAAAATTGTTATATGGGAATAATTACATTCAATACACTCCAGCAAACATTTCCTAAATGCCCACTCTGTGTCTGGTATTATACCAGGCACCAGGGATCTCTTTCACAAAAAGATCACAGTCTTATGGAAGGGTAAGTGCCTTTCAAATAGATAAAGTATAATATGATAAGTACTATAACCAACAGAGATACAGGTTGCTATGGAAACACAGAAAACACCAAAGGAAATCATGGAACACTTCACAGAGTAAGTGACTTTTGTGATGTGTCTTAAGACAGAAAACAGAGGGAGGCCCCTGGATGTAGAAACCGGCAGTAGCCACTCCAGGAAAATAAATAGCGTGAGAAAAGTCACAAAGAACATAATGAATTTGTATAATTGCAACTAGATTGTTATGGCTGCAGAGTGTAGAGTGAGAGAAGGGAGAAGAAAGATACAATTCATAGGGTAGGTAAAACATGGTTGAGAAGAACATTATATATCCTGGAAGAAAGTTTAAATATTATACTAAAAATAGTGAGGAGCTATAAAAGAAACTTAAAGCTGGAAGTACATGATTTGATTTATAGGTTAGGCCTTTCTGGAAGCTATGTGCAGGATGGATTAAAAGGTAGAGCACGGGTAGAACAGGGCTGAGTTGGAAAGCTATTGCACTATTTGATACATGAGATAATGACATCCCAAAGCAATATAGCAACCATGGGAAGGCATAGAAAGCCATGAATGGCAAAGCACCTCTAGAGGTAGGACTTGATTATGTATTGAAATCTGTATGAGAAATGTATGGGTGAGATGAAGTGAGAAATGATTTTCTCTTTCGGATAACTGTCTGGGTATTGGTTCCATTAAAGAGAGAGCTTTATTTGGAATTAAAAAAGACAGGGAAATTTGTAGAGAAAAACAAAGATTTAGATGTGTTGAGCTGAAGCTTTTAGAGTGCTGTGGGCTGAACTGGACCCCTCTCCCCACAAAGTTCATATGTTGAAGCTCTGATCCCCAGTGTGTGGTATTTATAGATGGGGTTTTGAGGAGATAATTAGTGTAGATAAGATTGTGAAGGTGAGGCCTTCATGATTGGACCAGTGGCTTTCTTAAACAAACAAACAAACAAACAAAAAACACCAGAAAGCTTGCTATCTCTGATGTGTGAGGAGGACACAGTGCGAAGGTAGCTATCTGCAGTCTAGGAAGAGCCCTCATTAGAATCCACCCATGCTGCAACCTCGTCTTGGACTTAATTGTAAAAAATTAAATTTCTGTGGTTTAAGCCACCCAGTCTATGGTATTTTGTTATGCAGCCTGAGCTGACTAAAACATGTAAGTATTTAGGAAGTTGGATGACACAGATCTGTTGGGAGGAGACAGATTGAGGTGGTGATTGATTTGGGAAAAAAAAAATATATATATTTATCATTTAATTATATATATATACAGAGAGAGAGAGAGACTAACTATAAAATCTTGTCCGGTAAGAGATATTTTGTCTAGAGGCCAAAATGTTTAAAAATACCTTAAGTACCACGCATCTGGAAAAGAGCAAATGCACATAGTTCTTTTTATTATTAAAATTAGGCTATTTCCAAATGAAAAATATTTACAATTAAAGATGAAACATCTGTACAATTATTAAAATTAGTCTTACTAAAAAAGAATTGACAACATCTTGTTACTATTCTTTTATACCAGATAACAGTGAAGAAAGTAACAAAGAATAATTACTAAAATTCCACTGTGGATCAAGAGAAAATGTCTCCAATATCAACTCACACTTCCCTATAAAGTATAAAAATGAGTGTGACTCCTGCTTGGACAATCGGTTATACAGATACATGCTCCATTACTATTTGTTCAATAACGTAGATAAGTTCAAAACCGGCAGGGATGATAAAAGGAGTTTTTCCTGCAGAATTTTTCATTTTGCACTTATAAAATAAAGATGAATCAATCTTATCTCACACACACCAAAGACTTACACTGTACTTTTTCTAACACAGGCAAATGAAATATTAACATGTAGCATTCAAAATAATAAATATACATACTATTTACAATAATTGAGAATGTTGGAGCATGAACATTTATGTAAAATCATTCTGATGAAAACATTTTAACTGTAGGTTGTATTGGCAAATACTTCTCTTTCCTTCCTATTTGATCTTTTAGCTCAAATCGAGTTAAAGTGGAATGTGTCTGTAGATATAAAGTTAAGAATATATATTCAGTCACTTGGCTCTGTGATAGAAATCTTCTGTACCATGTCAGAGAGATTTTCAGACTCCAGATCTTCTTTGCCATTATCTGAATTTTCTGACGAGATATAACAACCAGAGTCCCTTGGGCAGTCATCTGCCTGTGACTTATTTAAGGAGATGCCTGGGCTTAAGGATAGGGGCTCAGATTCATTTTCTTGCTCTTGAATAGCTGTAAATGGAAAAGAGGGCAATAGTTAGGAGAAGCCAAGACAAGTTTTATTCATGCACTCATTCATCTTTGAGCCGTTTTCACTGTACCAACCTTGACTTCATTACATTTGAAACTTCCGTAAGTAAACAATATATTTGTTTATTAGTAAAGAGATATTTGCACTCAGATATTCAAGCCCTGCTATCCTAGAAGATAAAGTTTGCCCTGTTTTTGCTCACTTGCAGTTTCATGGGATTCATGTGAACTGCTTGCATAAGCGAAGATCAATATGGACTCTCATTTTACATTAATGATAAGTTGCCAGAGAAAGCAGATTGTATCCACAGTTTGACTGATGCCTTGTCCAAATACTCCTTAAAGTAACATTAGAAAAAGTCACTTGTAGTTTAAATGTACAATACACCTCAATGGCGATTTTTGTGAACAATTCTAGAATCATAATAATGTGGATTAATGAAAGAAATATCTCTGTAGGCAACAAGGTACAGTTAGACTTCAATTACTTTGGGTTTAACTAATAAAACTTAAAGCATTGAGATTTTCTTATGTTTGCATTCAACAGAAAAATCAACATAGAAACCAGGTTGCTCTCAGATGGTAAAACACCACCATTTCTATTGACTCTGTTTATTTTGTCTTCTACATCTTTGTAGTTCTGCATAACAATTATTTATATTCCGATTGGTGATTCTGTTATCAAAGAAGTATTTTAGACTTTTTAGTATTTTTCTTTGAAAAAACTCGATATTAGAGATGTAACAAAACACATTTTTATTTTTTTGTAATTTTTTTCATGTTTATAAATTTTGAGAGAGAGAGAGAGAGAGCATGAGCAGGGGAGAGCCAGAGAGAGAGGGAGAGAGAGAAGGCCCCACAGTGTTAGTGCAGAGCCTGACGTGGGGCTTGAATTCATAAACTGTGAGATCATAACCTGAGCCAAAATCAAGAGCCAGAGTGCTCAACTGGCTGAGCTACCCAGATACCCCAGAAGGTATTTTTGAAGAAGCTACACAGCACTCTAAAGTGTTACTCTTCTCCAGAATCCTTCAGCATCAGTGTTCTCTTTGTCAATGCTAAGTTGCTTTCTATGCCTTCCCTGACACTAGTAAATGTGTGTTTCTCTGCATCATAAGATGGGGTCCTCAGGGAGGATCTTAGGCTACCACCTGTTAGCTGTATCAGCATGTCTAGTTCTTTCCCTTTCCAGCACCAGAGCTTCCCCACTTTGAACATTTGAATAAGTGCACTTTGGAAGAACCAAACACATACATTTCAGGGCAGGACAAGACCTCTGCCTTCAGAGGCTATGCATTTCATCCTATTCCAGTGAGAAGAAACTAAATCCCAACTTCAAAATACTGGAAGAAAGAAACTGTAATTTTCCTCAATAGACTTCATAGAGTAAAATGCTAAGTAATTTATCTTTAAGAAATCCACCCCTTATCTTGTCTACAAATATCCTGCTTTTTAAATGCATTGTCTAGGCTCCAGATACCTTGTCAACACTATGCTCTACTGTGTATCCAATTGTTATCAACATCCTTTAGGAGAAAGAATTGAGCCCTGGTGCCCTGAGGCATCCTTGTATGTAGTAAATTAACTTCAGTGTATCTAGAATGGTATTCTTTTACATAGCACCCATGGAAGAATAGAGAAAAGAGTCACATGAATTTTTGTATTCTGTGGTTTAGATGAGGAACATAGATTGAGAAACGTTGGGGAAAGTGATGAAGATCATTTTAGTCTACTCATCTTCAAAATGAATCATAACAGTTCTTTTAACCTTTTCCTCAGAGTTTTAATTTGCAACAATAAAATGTTTATGCCATTCTTCTGAATCTTCTCTATGTTTACCACAACTTTATTTTTTTAATTTATTCTTTTTATTGAGAGAGAGAGAAAGGGAGAGGAGAGAGTGAGTGGGGGAAGGGCAAACGGAGAGGGAAGGAGAGAATCTTAAGCAGGCTCCACACCCAGTGCTGAGCCCATCTTGGAACTTGATATCAAGATGGATTGTGAGATAATGACCTGAGCTAAAATCAGGCTCCCCATGCCACAACTTTATTTAACTGTGGATTCAAGTATCAGATATTTAAGTCTGGTGATATTTTAACTACTTCTAGGTATAAGGGGCTTCAATTTTAATATGCATCAGTTGAGATTGTTATTTAAAAATTTTAGCTGCCATGAAATATTTTCTCTTTATTATTCTTAGCAACTTTTAAGTTTAGGAGGAATCTTCTTAAATTCATTAGTGTTTGTGACTATGGGTCATTTGGTTTTGTTTCCAAGCCCTTCTGCCATGAAAAGACAGTGATGAAATTGGACCTATTCTCTGCAGAAAACCTGTCCCCCTGTCTCTGCTTTTCTGTCTTATTGCCACTGAAATGAAAGAACCAGCTCTGAGTTTTATTATCCAAGTGTTTCTGGAAAAGGCCGGAGAAATTAGTCCTTTTGTAACACTTCCTGCTACGTCAGCAGTGATTCACCATGTTTGGAGTGTGAGCCTAAGCCGTATTTCCCCAGATTATATTTCGGCCTATCACCTCAACACAAAATTCAAAGAAAGGAGTTATTTCCCTTCAGACAGACATTTTAAATGGGGCTTGGCATAATAAAAACTGCTCCTAGTACCGTGTTCTATCTAGGTTGATTACTGATTGTGGGCCGTCTTTAAAATATAACATTTAGGCTTAAAGAACTAGCTTGTTTCCTTTCAAAAGATAAGTGCTTAGCTTGATATTTCATCCTCAGAAGGCTCTGTCCATCCACCTCAAAGGGTAATGAAGAAAACAAACAAAACATGAAAATCTGACTTTAACACAGACTATGTCATTTTTAATATTGGCTATAAAGTGTATTTGTTTGTTTTTATCTTCACACTTGAAATGCTATATCATATTCTCTAAATTCTAGGAATTGGTTTGTTTTAAATACAGATTATTTATTGTAGAAACCTTTTATCTGCAATTTCTATGGAAAAAGCAAATAGTTTCTCAGTATGAAAGTTATGCAGCACAGTAATTTACAGAACAGCAGTAATTTGCTAAATGATTTCCTAGTGAAGTGAAAACATGACTATGCCTCCTCAAACACTTCCCACCAGGCTAGCAATAATTTCAAGCAGGTGATCAGCTGGAGCCCCTCAACTGTAACTATAAAAAGAAAAGACAGGTCCTTATATTATATTATGGAAATGAAAGCTTTATAGTATTCAGTTTTTGTGTTTGGAGGGTCAAGTTTTTCCTTTTCTTGTTTTTTTTGTTTTTGTTTTTTTGTTTTTGTTTTTTTCTTTTTCCATCTTGACACTAATGACTTCGGGATTGGCATGAACCTAGGTCTTGTGCTATGGATAGTTTTTCCAGCACAGGAGATGAATTCATGCTAAAATATATCCATATTTTCTTTCTAAGTCACTTTGTCCCTTCATATGCCCATGAAACAGAGTAAAGCTGACTGACCTACCTGGACCTTCTGATGCTAACTGATTCTTTTCATCAGTTTTGGCCCATGGTCCAATCTGAGCTAACCAGGCAAATAACACATTGGAATAAGAAACAGTTTGCCTCCAAAATTATAGACTTGCCATTATGAGATATGAGTGCATCATTTTTAAATATCAAAGTGTTTCTGATAATATGTTAAGTTTAAAAACTCAGTATATATGATTAAGTATTCTATTATTTAAATTATGTGAAAACATATAGGCATATGTATATAACTCACAAATGAAACCATTAAAATTTTAGATAAGATTTCCTCTATATTCCTCACATCATCCATAATGTTTTGTATTTTAATAAAAATCAAAAAAAAATTTAAAATGGTACAGTTTTTCAATAAACCCCTGAATGGTCTGCAAATATTCCAAAGACTATATATTTTCAAATCTGGGTATATTGGAGAATTATTAAATAGTTTTTAAAAGGGTGTCTTTGATTGCTGCCAGCTAACGGCGGGCATAATCAGAAGGCCAGAAAGCAGCCCCAAACAGTTCTGTACCCTATATAATGAAAATAAAATAATTATGTTAAAAAATTATTGAGGAATATTTTGTCATAAACAGCTAATTTGAATATTAAAATATTTTAGTTCTTACCAAAATTTTTATGGAATTGTGTAAAGCCCGTGGTTCAACATTTTAAGATAATCATCAATAAAGATAAAAAGTGGCAGGGTGATTAAAACAGAAGACAGCTAATGTAATTATTCATAAAATAATTATATTGGAATTGTGACATTTAGTTAATTAGGTATAGGCAATTTCAATTATACTAAAAATGAAGAAAGCTTTAAGAAAATCAAACCAAATCCTAATGCTGGGAAAAAGTTTTCATGTCCTAAAGAAAGAAATCTGTCCTATATTCATAAAGGTTTCTTTCTCAGGTTTCTTTACCAAAATATTCTAGATTTTAACTTTACTGTCTTGTGTGTCTTAGGTATGATGCTTCTGTTTCTTTTGGGTACTATAACGTAATGCAATCTAGAGAGCATAGGAAAATGCCTGGCCAGTGAAAGTGCTCAATAAACATATTTTTTAAAATAAAATGAAAGTGATGTTTCAAAAAATTAAAGGAATTAGGAACTGAAGATCAAATAAGAAATGTTGTTGAAATTCAAATGAAGATGGCTGTTGGCTTTTTGAATGACCAGCCTATTTTTCTCTACTGGTGCCATCTCCAAAGATTATGCCAAGGTTATATCACCCTCTTTGAGGATGGCTCAAAACCTCACCCTCATGTGGGAGCCCCATTTGAGTCATTCAGAACAAATGTTAGGCATTCTCCAAGTGACTAAAATTGCATTTATTTGTCCAGATGCAGTGTTGTCCAAGGAGGATCATTCAGTAGACAATATGGGACAACTTGCAGTTATTTCTGATTTCGTCTTAAGCACATCCTTAAATTATCTGAATGTATTGATTTTATAATTACAATGAACTTTTGGTATTCATTTTTTAAAATACTAACCTACCTTTTGGAAAAACATCAAATGAAAAACAAGAGTCTCTTCATGGAATAATAACCAGCTGCTATTGTTTTCTGGAGGCCATGAGAACACAGGAGCTGAAATGACTCTCCCTCTTTTTGCACGTCTCTCTTTGCATCTAAGCAGACTAGTTCACCTTCTAATGAAACGTGGGCGAGGGAGTGAGTCTTTTCACTCACATCCACAGCACCCTTCACTTCCACCATTCTGGGTGCTTCAGGAAGGTCAGAGGCATACTTCCCTAAGTTCTGATCAGTCAGCACCAGCACAGACACCCTTGTGGAAGGCTTTGGTCCCAGGAAATATTTACCATCGGTTGAGTTGTCATACTGGGCTCTTTTGATAAGACTATTTTAGGCACGATTGAAAACTATCATTACATATTGGTTAATCATGGACCTTGGGAAAGTAGTTTCATTTTTCTTATAGATTAAATTACTTGATTGGTGAAAAAATAATCTCATTTTATTATTTTAAAGCTTATTTGACAAAAATAGGGTTACCCTGCATATCACTGATTTACAATTTGCTTTAATATTTTAATATGTTTTGGACATATTTTTATATAGTATGCATTACATTCTCTTAATATCTTCACACTACTTTATTGTTTGCGTATACTAATTAATTTAACAAATTATTTATTGCTGGCAGTTCACACTTAATTAAAAGTACTAGTAGCTTAGCTCGTATTTTTATGCATTTGTGTGCTGAGATTAATCAAACAAATTCCTAAAACTGGAATTTCTGGATCCAAAAGTTTGCACATTTCAAACTTTGATGGTTTTTACATTATTGCCCTCTAGAAGCATACTCATTTGCACCCTTACACATATACAGGCACACATGATTAGCATATGCATAACAAAAATTTTGATAACACATACTAACACCCATGTGCATATTAAAAAATTTCTATGTGCGGGGTGAGATTGCCAAGGACTTAAAGTTTTATAATCAGAAAAAAGTTTGCCTACGATTTCCAAATCTCTTCATTCCCTCATTCAATGATTATTCATTCTACTTGTATACCATCCACTCAATGCAAAGCGCAGAACTAGGGGCTTTGGGAAGGCACATGATAATAGAGGATTCAGTCTTGTTTGACCAGGGTAATCATCACAAAGTCATGCCTAGTACACAAACATGGTGCAATATAAAAACAAGCACATTTCAAGTTCCTTAGGTGACTGAGGTTAAAATTCCATGGGCTCTGTGCTATGAGAATTGTTCTCTGATAGAAGAGTAAAAATGTTTACATTTCATTTTGTTTTGGGTATTATATGGAATATGGCATCGATTGTAAATTGAATCTTGGTGGGGAGGGGGCAGCAAAACCAAAGAGTAATCTGAAGAAATGGATTGCATGAAGCCAGACAGCTTTAACTAGAAATAAGTATTACTTTTTAACCTAACAATTTATTAACAAACTTATAAGTACATACAAATAAAATGCCTGTGTGCCTTCTCTACTATGTATATGTGGGTGGTTAGCACATCTTTTCTTAAAAGCTGTACCTTTCTTGAATCGAGATTCAAATCATATGGCAAGCGGGTTGGAAACACCAGGGACGCATGTCAGGGGCTAGGGCACCAGGCTACCCTGGCACGCTGTCAGGTCAACTCCGGACTGCTGCTTGGCAGCACTACAAATTTCCCTGCCGGCAGCTCGTGTTCCAGGCTCCTGGCTGGGCCTCGCCTCTTGCCCTGCATCGTTTTGGGCAGGCAGGCAGGCAGGAAGGCACAACTGGGGATAGCTGAGCAATGTGGAGCTGCTGTGACCACAGCTGGCACCAACAGCCTGGCACACAACACGCCCCTCCTCCGTTCCTCCTCACCAAGCACTGCAAGCAAAGGTTGCAGTTACCTAAAATACATTATACACAGCTTCTTGTACAGTTTGCTTATTTGGTTATTCAGTTGTTGTTTTTTTCTTCCAATTTAAAATTTAATTATTCCTGTGCTATAGGGAGAACAAGCTATTTCCATCGCCCATTTTCCCTGAGGACAATGTACACATTCTCATAGACACACTTTTAAGACACATCAAAGTGCCTCGAAATGTGGGAAGAGAGGAACAAGTTCAGAATAAAGAGAAAATATGTACTGTAAATAGCAGTTAACTCTCTTATTATTTGCAAGAGGCATTTATTAGCTAGGCAAAGGGTCTTGAAGGTTGTGTTTATGAACAACACACACACGCGTGCACACACACACACATTCTCTGTGCTTACTGGGAATATTTATTCAAAGCAAACAAATCATTTTAAAATTCAGATGATAAATAGAGAAACCCTATTGTGCACAAAATAAACAGATTCTGTTCTTTTGCTCCTTCAAAAGCTCAGTCTCCCCCCAATTTTTCTTCTCCTTCTATCCTCATGTAGATTCCCAGCTGAGGGAGCCAGTGACCTAATTCTGCTCAGTACTAATGCAACACCGGAGTGAATGCAGAATATCTTGGTATTAGCCTTGCTGGGATTGCAGAACCCCAAAGTCATTCTCCTGACAAAGAGGTAATCCTGTAAGCAGTGCTAACACCACTCACCAACCTTACTATCAGCTTGGAGGAGAAACCCCTTTACCTCCTGTCAAGTAGTGACCTAAAAAACTTTAATCCACTTTACATTCTCAAGGTCAGAGTGGGCACAATGCTATCTATTTTGGCCTAAGAAAAAAGGAAAATTGCTTGCTCTAAGTATTAGATTTCTATTGCCCCATCCTTTCGGTCCCTCTAGATGTATGAAAGGTTCACATGGGGCTTGTAGTGTTTCCTTCATCATCTCAAAAATTTATCTCTTGTCCTCAAAACAGGCATCTCCTCTCCTCGATTTTTATACTGAAGGATTGTGAAATCAAAACTTTCCAGTTCCCAACCCAAGAAGCTCTAAACTAGGAATTTATTGACATTCCCCCAAATTGACTTTATTCATGATCAAGATAAAATGCATGCATAAAATCCTGGCCAATTTGAATACCCATTCTTACACACACACACACACACACACACACACACACACACACCAATTTTTTAACCTGTGACTGTGACATGCATTTGTTTTTAATAATATCTTAGTTTTATATAACCATATATTCAAGGTCTTTATCATTCAAGGTACATGAAGGTTGTGCATTTAATCTTTAGCATGGTTGTAGAAGATATGATTCACAGAGTAGAGAATAGATAAAAATAAGCACGCAGCAGCATGGTGCCGAATCATCAGAACTCACCATCTTATCAACAAATAGAAGTCATTCTTCTTTATTTCTTGAGCAAAGCAGTTTCATATAAGATAAATAGCTTTCAGTCAGAATAGCCTAACATGCAATATGCATCTTTTTGACACGTATATTCTAGTACTACTTTAGACCATAAGATTAAAATAAGAAAAATCTCAGGGTTGTGAGTTGACAACAAACACTGGTTGCATTGGCATTTTTTCCCCTATTTTTTCATCCCCCAGAATTTGGCTCAGTGTGTGTAGGTTTGTATATTACTTGCGATTATTAATGGTCAACTTCTAGTGACCTTCAAATACCATTTTCTGAAGTCTTATAAGGGAAATAATTTGGGGGATTTGTACCTTTTTATATTCAACATCGAAAGTCACATCATGCTTTGGAGATACTGTGTTTCATTTTCAGAGATTAGGGCAGAGTAGAATGTGTTTCTATTAGATTTAGGAGGCTGGGTTCTAGATATGTGACCTTAAGAAGGCCATTTAGCTAATCTAGTTTTAGTTTCCCTATCTTGCAAAGGAAGTATTTGAGTCAGATGGTTTTTCAAATTACACCTTGTTCTAATACGATGTCACTTACATATTATTATTCTTTTATTAGCATAGAAAGTAGGTGGGGAAGAGGGGTGGTGGATGAATAAATTAAGTAGACACCTTCCATGGCCCAAGCCTTTGGCACTGGACCAATCTTCCCTCCGTGGGTCCAGAATGACCACTGTTTTATGGCTAAAAGTCCTTCTCACCCAGGTTCTCTAAGCCTCATCTATTCACTAGTACTGTAGCAATGCAGCCATAGTAGCCGTCCACCTTCAAGGCAGTGGTGTTGTTGCAAGGTTTCTCTTCTCACTGAAATATTAACTTCTGAGATGGAACACTTAACTGAAGCCCTTGAGAAAACTGGCGTAGTAGAAAACTTCAATTTTCAAATATTCATTGTTCTTTTTATATTTACCAGTTTGCATGAGTGGAAGAAAGAACTTGGATTTTTTTAAAAAAATTTTTAATGTTTTTTATTTATTTCTGAGAGAGAGAGAGACGGTGTGAGCAGAAGAGGGTCAGAGAGAGAGGGAGACACGGAATCTGAAATGGGCTCCAGGGTCAGAGCTAGCTGTCATCACAGAGCCTGATGCGGGACTTGAACCCACGAACCGTGAAATCATGACCTGAGCCAAAGTCGGATGCTTAACCGAGTGAGCCACCCAGGCGCCGCAGAACTTGGGTTTTTATAGCAGGCCACCTTTGATTAAAATTCCAGCTCTGTTACTTATCTAGCTGTTTGGCCTCTTTGCAACTCAGCTCTGAAATATTTTCTCATCTGTAAGATGGACAAAATACCTATGTGGATAGTATAGAAGAAAAGTAATGTGTTTAAAAGAGCTCAAAAATATTCTTCTTCCTCGCTCTACTTCAACATCAAATTATTTTGGAGGTTATTGACAATGATACTGAACATTCTCTATTACGAGAAATCTAAAGAATCTATTTCTTAGCCTGACATTGTTTAGTGAGGAGCCTTGTTTTGAAATGACAGGATGTGAAAGAAATTGCCTCATTTACCTGAAAGATACTGCTACATCAGTTGACACTGATCAGTTTTGTTTTGTCTTGTACTATTGAGTAAATTGGCTACTTTCTTAACATTGACCTTTCTGCCTCTGTGACCCCATCTCCCTCTCCTAGTCTCCACAACTTCAAAGAATGCATGTAAACAACTAGGCCTAAGAGGAAATAAATTCTGCAGGTGCCAAATTAGTCTTATATATGAAAGCTCTTTGAAAAGAATAAAGCTCAATGTAAATTCAAGATGGCAAGTAAGAATAAAGTGAAATACAATTTCCCAAAGAGTTAATTTATTCCTACTAGATAAAAGGCCAGTGTATAAACATGTACTGTGCAACTATGCCATTTTGGAGCAGATGAGATCTAGAATATAGGAAACCGTACTGAGAGACAGGAGACCTGGGTCCTAAATACAACTTTCCTCCTTGCTCGCCATCTGGGCTGTTATTTGTAAAAAGTATCGTAGTATCACAAACACTGGTCCTAGCTCTCCAATTCACTATGTGTGTGAGCTTGGACAAGTTACTCATCTTTTCAGTTTCTCACTATAAATACAGGGATAGTAAGATCTAACTCACAAAGCTGTGAAGTGCATGAAAGAAGATAATAAATGTAAAGATCTTGGATCAAAGTTTTACTCAGACTATATATTCAAAATAAGTAGTTAATGATCATGATTAATATTATTTTTGAAAGAGAAAAGTTGAATTGGATGGTCTAAGTTCTTCATCTTAAAAAGTCAATACTTCCCTCTTTTCTTCCAAACAAAATAACTCCTTGCGGAGTTTGGCACATTTGAACTCAGGGTTTCAGAAGGCTGAGCAGATTTAGTAAGACGAGTGTTCAGATTGGGCAACTGTAAAAACAAAAGCTATTCTATCTTTACAAACCCAGTCGGTAAGCGAATGTGCATGAATTACTCCATCTTCAGTTTATACTTTACAAATACAGAGAACCATCTCAGATAATAAAAGTGAGTGCTGAATATTTTTGCAAGCTATTATAACATTTTGAAGGAATACTATAAACACATACAAGATGTGACTATATGGTAATGAAATGAATTTTCCTGTGTGGCGCGAAAGCTCATTAGCTTAGAGCCTTGTTCTGTGCTGTTCTGCAGAAGTTGCATATGACATTTCTCACTAATGGCTCATGCTGTCACTAAATATTTGTCTCGAACTCCCTCAGTCTCTGGGAATGCAGACATCCACTTGCGTGTAAATTAATAGCTCTGCAGAATCTAAATGAGGTCCACAGAAACGTCTTTTTCATTTTATGAGTCCAGTAAAGGAAAAAAAAAGTCAGTTCTCTTCCTAATTATAGACTTGACCAGAGTTGTTTCCAAACAGATAAGAAAATACTTATTTTATGGGAAACAATGCTTTGTATGATTCTCAGTAAATAAAACTGGGGCTTTGTTTTTAATAATTCTACTCTTTACATTGAACTGTGATTTTCAGCAAAGGAGAAAAGTAGGTGTGTTCACTTACTTTCTTCATCAAGGAGGTTTTCAGCAGCTGATAGTAACCTCATCCTGTCTTCTGGGTTTTTAATGTTTAATTCAATGAGGTGACTCTCTTGTATATCCTTTAAATCTTCTAGGGTCTCATATCCATTGAGTAACAGTGTTGAGGTGTATTCCTATGAGGAAGAAAAAAATATGTATACTATAAACTAGCCAGATTCATACGTTTTATTTTTAGTTCTCTTTAGATTTAAAGGAAGTGTAGAAATGCACATAGAAACCAAAGACACCAATAGAACTTCTGTGTAACTTTATTTAACTTGTACTAGTTTTCCACATATGAACTCTAGGACATTTAAAAGAGTATGTTGTATAATTCTCACCTTCTGGAAGGACAAATGTAAAGAAGAAATAATTACCTTAAGCTGTGCAGTGCTAAATCATGGATCAATTAAATAGCTGGATCATTCATCCCATTTGGCACTTTTTCACTTCTCAGAAGCTCAATTGACAAAGCTAGTGTGTCCTTATGTCTATCAATAAAATGCCTCTGGAAGAGTAATTATAGTAATATTTCTGAATCTCCATCTCTTCTTGTTTGCTTGGCTACAAAAATATTTGCCCTCGCTAAGTTCTTGGGGTAGTTTGAAAAATGAATTTGAAACAGCCACAGTTATTTTATAAAAAAATAGACCTAGCATTTGGTGAAAGTCATTATATAAACCGAGGGAATTCCAGACTTTCTATTTAATTAAAAGCTCTTATTAAGCATAAAAGCATTGTGGTTGGGAAAAGTATTGTTTCCTTTTCTCAGCATGTGTATTTTTGTCTGTCATTTGCATCAATATATATTAGTTTAAAATTCATAGGCTTCTGATTTCTGAGTCTGTATGTTATTTATGTAACCTCTGTTCTCTCTAACAGAATAAAAATGCAAAGTGAAGTTGCTTTACAACTTCTTCAAAATTTCCTTCCATTTTACTTGATCACAATTTCAATATCCTTATTTTGGTTACTAAAACTGAATAAGAGGAGGTATAAAAGTTTTAAGTAATTGGGAAGAACTACCAGCCCCTTTTTACAAAAGAAAGAGAAAGAAAGAAAATGTACAACTTCTTTTAAAAATAATGTCTTCTAAAAGGAGTACTAAATTAGAACAGAGAAACCAAAATTCCCATTCTGACTTATGTCTGATTGTGGGTTCTTGAGTAAGTTATTTCACTTCCTCATATCTGGGTTTTCTGATAGGTCACAATGCAAACAAAAAGAAGAAGCAAGGTTTGAACTTGTACTTCATCTAAACATTGCCCCATTTGGGGGGCACCCATTGTAATATAGGAAGGCCAAGGTGTGTCTACAGACAGGAGTATAACTAGATAACTAAAGAGAAACAATTAAGGAAAGTTTAATTGGCTATTGCCTTGATGAATCTTGAAAATTATCAAAGTACTGCTGCATTAATTTTAGAAATGGATTGCAAAACAGTAAATTGAGTGAGGCTAGGTAAATTGTATGTACACACCATTGAACAAGGTAGATATTTCATAAAAATTTTGCTAATATAACAAGAAAGTAATTGGATTATAAATATAAACACAGTTTCCTTAACACAATCATCATGGGGGCCTAATGATCACTATTTCCTAACAAATTGCTTTTGAAACAATTATATTTAGTTATCTTCTCTTGACTTGCTTTTTATCTCTGCCCTATACAAAATGCAATTTTCTTTTCATTTTTCCTTTCAATCCTCTGAATTTTTACCTTTACTCTTCATACTCTATCATTCTCATTTACATGTTTTCTCTGGGCCTTTTATTCTCCAAGGTATTTTCATTTTTCACTGCACTTTCTCAACATTAATCTCTACTGTCACTGCTAAGTACCATTAGAGTTTAGTCCAAGGGATATTATATTAACACTTGTCCTTGCATAATAAAAGTAATAAAGGAGAAATAAAAACTCTTCTTGGAAAACAGATTTTCTTTTGCTGTAAGTCATATATTTTTTAACTGTACAAACACTGATCCATTCTTCTCATTTATTCTACCCAGATGCCACCAGAATCAAACAGGCCACATGTTCGTGTACCTGAAGGTGAATCCTCTGTAAGAACTCCTGCAGAGTCTTGGGTTTTTCCTTTCCACTCCTTCGGTGTGCCTTTATTTTCTTGGGGGCTGCTTCCTCTTCTGAGATGACATCCACATAAATAAATTTGAAGTTTCCCACCTTATTGTTCAGCATTCCTGTCCACATCCCCATTGGTGTTTTGCAGATAATGTCTATGATGTCTCCTTTCTAAAGACAAAGAAATATACCAATCAGTTTCCAGAGAACTCTGGTGCTGTAACAATTGGTAGAAAGAATAGAGTCATAGAAAATTAGAAAAATGAGGGAATATGCTAAGGGGGGTTACTGATAACAGAAATAAATCTAAGAGAGAATTTTTTTTAAATGTTCAAGAGAACTAGTTGCTAGTAATAATGAAGAAAACTCCAACCAGCTTGAAAAAAACTCTTACATACTTTTGATGATATGTTTTCGGTATATCAATTTATGAACTTAAAATTGTAGAGCACAGTGGAATTTACAAATACTTTTCCATATACTGAGTCATTTTATGCCCATGACACACTTCATAGGTGCATATACAAGATTTCATTATTACTCTAAATATTAGAGAAAAGAAATGCAAATGTCAAATTAAATTTAAAAAATCTTGGCAGTTGTCTGAATTCAAATGGTAGAACCAGAACTCAAATCTAAGTTGTCTGAACTCAAAAATGTTGCTTTTTTCATTCCTCTTGTCAACGCAATAGATATATAGCAAAGCTCAAGCCATGATTCCTGGAGGAGCTCCCAAATAAGGAAGGGAAAGAAAATGAAGTCTGTATCTCTGTCCATGCTTCTAGTTCATCTGAAAATTTTATCTACAGTATAAAATCATCTAAAGTGTTGCATTCATCTAAAATAAGGAAACTATTAAGAATTTTATATATACCAAATATGCAAGAAAAGTATGTATGCACTATGGATAAATTATGCTACTTAATTATTGTAAAGAAGATAATACTTAGATTAAGCTCCACAGCAAAGTTGGATTGACATATGACTGAAGCACACTAGGATGGACAAACCAATTAGTTTTTTTCTTTATTCACATCTGAGACTCTAATTGGCCAGTTATTGGCAAGAGTAGAGAACACATAGGGGTACAATTTTCTTTGTAAAGAAAATTGATTTCTATGCAAATACAGTGCTGGCATTTAAAACTCATAGTTAATCCCTTAAGACTTACAAGTTTCTACCCCAGAGAGGACATTATAGATTTGATGTTTGCCATTTTAGGGGTCTACTCTCAAACAAACAAAACATTAAGTTTGCTACTAAAAATACTTTTTACTGCTGTTCTATGAATGTGTATTCTTCCATCTAAAACACAGATTGTATTTTTAATAGTAGGATTCAATGTGATCAAAAGATCTGATCTTTCTGATTTGTGATCGTCTGCTTGTCTGACCCTATCTGCTGTTCATCTAGTTCTTCCTGCCTGTAACTAGGGGGGATCAAATCCTGGGCTTGATAGGATCAGCTAAGCAGACCTAGAAAACCCTCAGAAGCTCTAAGGGAAGTTGCTAAGCATGGGAGCTCTCTGATACATCCTTCCTATTATCCTTTAAACCCATAAAAAGTATACATTCCAGAAAAGCCCATAGGTCACCAAGCAAAGACCTAATTCATTGTGGATAAGACCGTTGATATAAACAATAGCATTCAATTCCCAGTGGTAACAGTGGGATTTGTATTGTGTCTTATGAGAACTCTACAAATATCACCTTAGGCAGCACAAGCAGTGGTGCACTGGCATAGATTTGTAGGGAAGGTGAAAAGCTTTCCTGAGTCAAAATGGGTTCAATTTATTCCCTTTTACAGCCCTTCCCCAAGTATGATTACTAGGCTATAAGCATTCTTTCCCCAAATTTGAACTTAGACTTCAAATCATTTCATGTAAATGACTAAGGAGCTAACTATGGAGAATAATGTTTACTTCATTCTCTGGCTGAGCTAACTCTGATTTGTTATCATAGAAGAGAAGAGTTGAGTGTCTTAAATATTAAATAATAACATCAATACTTCATAACTTATCATCATTACTGGTTAACACTAACTTGGTGTTGGTAGTATAGAAAATTCATAATTTCTGTCCTTTTAGCTATATCAATTTGCATTGCTCAAAGGAATAATCTGACATATGTAAAATGCCTTGGCACTAAACCTTCTATTTGTACTATTGCAACAGCATCTCCCTTTAGTGTGAGCAAGACTATGAAAATAATGGCTTTCATACCCATGATTATATTGTATTATATGACACAAGGGACTATGCAGATATAATTAATCCCTCAAATTAGTTAATTTTGTAATTAAGAGTGAGCTCATCAGGATATTTCTGACTTTATCAGGTAGGAGTCCTTAAAAATAAAGAGGTTTGAAAGATGAGTGAGCTTTTCTCCTGAAGGCTTTGAAGGAGCAAACAGCCATGTTGTAAAGAGAACCATGGCTGGAAGCCTCCAGGGGGTGAGAATGGCTCCCAGACAATATCCAGCAAGAAAGTAGGAGCCTCTGAATTCTCCCAATAGCCAGTGAGATTGGAGGAGGACCCTATGCCCAAGATGAGAGCATAGCCCCAGCTGACACCTTGATTTCAACCTAGTCAGACCTTCAGCAGGAAACCCAGTTGAGCTGTGACCAAATGTATGGCCCATTGAACTGTGAGGTAATAATACATTCATGGTGTTTAAAAAGCCTCTGAATTTGTAGAAATTTATTACACACCAATGGAAAATACAGATAATAAGAGTAGGAAGAGGTAATTCAAGAGGGAATATCATTGGGAGAAAGATATCTGGTTATTCATAGCAACCAACTTAAGTGCTGAAGCTGCCCAGCCAAGGCTGCTTCCCAAGGGAGTTGCTCTGCAGGGGTCTTGCCAAATATCTCCATCTTTTCTCTCTCACTCCTTTTACTCCAGCAAGTATCAGTCAGGGCTGGACACCTCCAGTAACCTGTGAGGCTTTGGTTTTCAGAAAAATGTAGACAATTTCTTCTCCTCTGCTAGGTGTGGTTCTGCAGTATCTATATAACACCAACTTATGCTATGGCCTCAAGAGACCATGTTTCATTCAAATTCTTGCTACATTAAACCAGTGCTCAGTTCTACCGTTGTGAAGAGCACACTTAACCACCCCCCATACATGCACCCATTTCCCACTGTGCACTTCCCAACACAGATCATACACCAGCACTAGACAGACCATACAGAATACCGATGTGATGCACACACACACCTTGATTTTGAGGGAGTCTGTGTCGTAGGGGCTTGGTGTAAAATCAGTATGTACTCTGGCACGGCCACAGAATGGTCCCGAGTAGGGGCCATCATCATCAAGTCGAAAGCTATCCCGGTTACTTGTACCATCTGAACAGCTTGTTACTCCACCTGATGAGAACAAAGCAGGGGTTAGCAGTACTCCCTGAAGGTTCATACAATTCTGAACCATCATCTGGATACAGCTAAGCAAGGACAATACTGAAGCATTGGATGCCAACGTTTTGAGGGGGTGCTAACTGATGGAGCCCTATTTTTTTCTGTCTCCCACTCTCCATTCATGACTTCTGTCCATCAAGCCATATCTGAACTTTTTTCCAGCCCATCTGACTCTTCTTTCTTCAAACACTAACTAAAAACACCCTTTCACATCATTCTTTATTATCTGATCCAGTAGCATGGTGTTTTGAGCATTGAACACTTGCTAAAGAGGCAGACAGTATAGACTTAACTCCCTGTACAGGCCAGACAATTTTCACCTGTAAACAAAGACAAAAAGCTATAGCAACAGTTTGATCTTTGTATGCTACTGATCACAAGTGATCAAAGAATAAGACTATAAGGTTCCCTATGCTTAACACAATGTAGCTGGAATACTCTCCCAAACTTCAGATTATGTACCAAAAGTCATTTTGAAACAACATCTTTATGCATAAGAGATAGTGCCTTTGCTTGTTGTTTGAGTGTGAAGCAAGGAGGATGTGTGTTCCAATGTCTGTACTCCAAATGGTTCTGAAGTTTCTAAACTGGGCTTTGAAATCTACTCCAAATCTTTGTTCTCTGATCTATTTCCCTTCTGAGTTTGAAGCTCAGGGGAAAAAGAGAAAACAGACTCCATTTTTACTGCATGCAAAATGAGGGCAAGAATGGTTCCCCATCAAAGTAGTTCTGTTTCTCCACCACTGTCTGTTGTCACCTCACTTTCTCTTCCAGTTTGGCCTTTCAGTGCTCTGTTCAGTGGTGAAACAGCCATGGTTTCTCTATTTATTCAAATAATTATGGAAATAAGGTAAGGAACCTTAGAGATGCTCCATATTGTATATGAACTGGTGTAAAAGAAAGGTGAGCTGCATATAATTACAGAAATTAAATTGTAGATGACAACAGCTAAGTGGGCCACCATTTCCTCACACCCTCCCTTCCATAGCCACTCAGGCCTTGGCTTTTAATGATATGCTCTAGTTAGTAAATTTCTACCCACATTCAGTATTACAGTTTAGAATTTTAAAACTTCCAGTAGAAATGAATACTAATGAAATCTGAGTTTCACACATGCAAAAATATATCTTTCAAATGTTTCTGCATTAGCTTTCCCCCCCCTACAAAATAACTGTTCTACAGCCAATAGGAAAATAGGAATATAATTCAGGATGTTTGAAACTTCTAGTCTTTGTGACCTGTCTTCAAATAACAGAAGCAGTGACTTCAAAGGAAATGGAAAATAAACCTTGCAAAACAACAACAACATTTAAAGCCTTGAAAAGATTAGAAGGATGCATAACAGTATACATATAAAAAATTATAAGGCACCCTGCAGTTATCAGTAGTTTCATCCAAATATTGTAATAGGATATGTGACTGAAACCTGAATTATTTTCTTCTTAGAAACACATGCTGATTCATTTCTGTCACCTATTTGTCAGTATTCCCTTTATTTAGTATTTACATAGTATTTCACTCTTTACTCACTAATGCTGGATGGAAACCTAAAAAGTAAATGTCAGAATTGATGTATATGTTCTGCTCTTTTCAGAATACTTCAGGTAAAAAGGAAGGAAAAAAGTGAGAGAGGACAGGAGAGGAAAAGAAAGAAAAGAAAAAGAAATGAGAAGAGAAAAGAAAGAGAAGAAAAAGGAAATGAAATGAAAAGAAACAAAAAGAAGGAAAGAAGACAGGAAGGAAGAAAAGAAGGAAGGAAGGAAAAGAAGGAAAGAGAAGAAAGAAAGAAAGGAAGGAAGGAAGGAAGGAAGGAAGGAAGGAAAGAAGGAAGGAAGGAAGGAAGGAAGGAAGGAAGGAAGGAAGGAAGGAAAGAAGGAAGGAAGGAAGGAAAGAAGGAAGGAAGGAAGGAAGGAAGGAAGGAAGGAAGGAAGGAAGGAAGGAAGGAAGGAAAGAAGGAAGGAAGGAAGGAAGGAAGGAAAAGATGGAAGGGAGAGAAAGAAAAGAGGGAAGAGGGAGGAGGAGGAAGATAAGAAGAAAGAGGAAGGAAGAAAGGAAGGAGAATAAAAGGAGGAATAAAGAAAAGGAAAAGATGGAAAAAGAGAGGGAGGGAAGAAGAGACAGAAAACAGGATTTTAATTTTCCTGAATTCTTCAAGTCATTTTAATAATTTTGACTCAAGTTAATCCTAGTTCTCCCAAGCATACATTTTTTATCTTAGGGATCTGGAGTTAGTTACCCAACATGATCTTTTTGAGACATACCCCTAAGAGCCCTGCCTTAGTTAAAAGTTTCAAAATAAATCATAGTTCTATCTAATATATTGTTTATAATTTTAAACAGTAGCAATTCTATGGATTCAACCACCCTACATTTTCACTACTTCTCTTATAAAGTAGCTGGAAACCTGTTGCTAATTTGATGAGCCCGAAATCTATTATTGTTGTTTTTCATTTGCAATTTGTTTCTTTTGCACTGTTTTTTTTTTAATTTAATTCCAGTATTATTAACAGACAGTGTTATATCAGTTTGAGGTGTACAACATAGTGATTCAACGTGTCAGTACATGATGCAGAATTCATCATGATAAATGTACTCTTTAATCCCCATCACCTACGCCATCCATTTCCTCACCCACCTTCCCTCTGGTAACCATCAGTTTGTCCTCTATAGTTAAAGTGTGCTGTTTTTAATGAACTTAACTCAGACCTCCCTGTTGTTCCTTATTCTATAGCCTTACTTGATGAACTCCGCCCACTGTAGAGACTATCCATGGAGTCACTGGCTTTGAGGGAGATCTTCTCTGTGTGACATCCAATCATTGGGTCACTGTTCCGGTAAGGGAGGGTATCCTCTCCATCTTCCTCATCCTTCAGAAAAACATATCAGAGGTTAAGAGCAAAGAACTGATTTCCATGGAGATATTCACTGTGTGCATGGATTTAACAAACAAGACATATTTTAGCAATAAAATACTTAGGAATACATCAGCATAAAATATGAGAGTCATTAATCTTTAGCTCAATTTCTGGCAAAACATATTATACTTGGAAAAATTCTTTAGATGAAACATTCCACATTATGGGATTCAACTGAAATTATAATAGTTCATTTTGTAAATTAGGATGGATATCATATCAAGACTATTTAATCAGTAATGTTAGATTTATTAACATCTATGCTTTATCCGTGAAAGCATTTTTATTTCTTCATGTTCTTCTTATCATCTATTTACCACCATTACTAATCCTTTGAGATCTGATATTACAAGTTTAAATTCTGCATAGTTGTTTCATGTCGGTTATTTGCACCCTACTAGATCACTAGATATGAATAAAACATGCACATTTTGAATTCTAAAGCAAAGCTTATCTAAGAAGCTTTACAAATCTCATACCATGCTTGCACACCTAGTCAAGTGAAAAGCAAATCCTGCATAAAATTAGGAAAGACAGACAATTTCAAAACAAATTACATCTGCTTGAAAACATCTCAGATGTCTTCCATACTTAGATTGTTTGGACAAAACCTATAAATTTCTTAATATTCATCAAAATGTAATTCAATATTCCTCATTTATGAGCATTTCTAAACATTGATAAAGTTTCAGAATACATATATGATATATATTCAGTTGGACTCTCTGCTTTTTTCCATTCTTTTATTGACTTGTTCAGTCATTCACCACATGTTTATAGGATACCTTGCAAATACCTGACACTGTTTTGAGAACTAGGGATACCATAGCATACAAGATAACAGGATTCCTGCTCTAATAAGTTACATTTTAGTGTGATGCACTGTTTGTGTGTGTGTGTGTGTGTGTGTGTGTGTGTGTGTGTGTGTGTGTTGTGTTTGGGGACATGTATTCAAACAAAATGGGAGAGAAAATTTCAAAGAATAGGTGCTATGAAGGAAAACTGAGTGATATGAAAGGATTAGATACTAGGATTAAGGTTAGGGGAAGGTTGGCTGATTTAGATTGAGTAGTCTCCAAAGACCTCACCTATAAGGTGATATATATTCTGAATTCCTGACCTGAATGTCATGAAGATTTGGAGGCAGTTTTCTAGGCAAAAGGAACAGAAAGAACAAAGTAACTAAACTCAGAATTAATTTAGGTTCTGCACAGGAAGACAAAGCCAATGTAGCTGGAGCTGAGGGAAAGCAGGGGCAGTTTTAGGAGATAAGCTCAGAGAGGTAGACTGTAACCAGATGAGGAAGAGCTTTATAGACCATATGTGGTGGTCTTGGAAATGTGCCACTCAGATCTTATGCTGCGGGACCCTTTTGACAGCCCCAGCTACTGAATCTGCCACCGTGTCTGCCTGAAAGCCATGATCACTGCCAATGACCGAAACACGAGTCTATCTGGGGGGATATAGGGCTTCTCTAGTGAAAGACTTTGGTTTAAGAACTATCTACCAATCTGGCCAAAGCTTTCTTCCTCCCCTTTCACAGGTGTCAAACTTGTACTGTAGTCTGAAGGCTTTCCCGACCCATTTATTCTTTCTCTACATTATCCTTCAAATACATTTTTTTCCAATAATCTTTGGTGTGTTTTTCCCTTTCTTAGTCTCTGCTTCTCAGAGCACTAGAATGAACATACCATAGTAAACGAACACATTGTGAAGACATTGTAAAAATTTTAACCAAGGGAAGTTATGTGTTCTCAATTCCACTTTTCAGAGATCTTTCTAGCTTTCATTGGAAAATGGTTTTTATGGAGGAAAGAATGGAAGAAAGACAATGGTAGTCTAGGCAAGAGAAGCTGTTGTTAATGCTGTTTTTGTTTATCTGTTTGTCTAAAGCAGGAATAGTTTACATGGAGAAATTAGGGGATTTAGATATTGCTTTGGAGTTTGAACAAAGAAGATATGCTAATTAAAAGGTGTGAAAAATGAGAGAGAGGAGTTTTGAATGATTCTTAGGCTTCTTTCTTTCCTCCTTCCCTTCCCCTCTCCTCCCTCCCCTCTCCTCCCCTCCCATTCCTTTCCCTTCCTTTCCTTTTCATTCCTCCCTTGCATCTAGAGTTATGACAGTGTTGTCTGTTACTACTGGGAAGATTGGGTAAGAAATCCTTTTTTGTTTGGTAGAACATAAAGAATTAATAATTCAGTTTTTGATGTCTTGGTTTCATCTATTGTACATTTAAGTGATGATATCAAATACACAATTGTTCCTTAAACACAACAGATAAGATGTCATTGCTAAAGATATAATTACAAAAAGTAAAGTTATGAAATTGGATGTGATCAGTTAGGAGGAGAAAGTACATTGAGGAGCATCTAGGAACAAGCCTCAGGAAGACTCAATATTTACAGAGACAGGAAAAAAAGCAAAGCCAAGAAAAGAAACTTTGAGAAAGAAAGAAAACCAGAAGAATGCTCAGAGAAATCAAGAAAAGATACTGTTTCATATATATTGAAATCATCACTTGTGTCAAATAGAGTTGAAAAGTAATGTAGAAAGAAAGAAAGCGGCCAATGAATTTGGCCACACAGAGGTCAACACTGATTGTGGCTACTGTTTTACTGGAGTACTAGGGACAGAAGTCCTGTTGAAAGGGATTGAAACAAGATTGGACATAAGACATACAGATCAATGTAATAGAATTGAGAGTCAGAAATAAACCCTTATGTTATGACCCATAATTAGGGCCATGTATTTATTATCAATTGATTTTAAACTAGGGTACCAAGAAAATACAATAGGAAAATAATTGTCTTTTTACCAAATTAGTGTTGGGACAACTGGATATCCACATTCAAAAGAATGAAGTTGGACTCCTATTATACTCCACAGAAAAATTAGTAGACCATACACCAAAATTTAAGAATGACAAACTTTTAGAAGAAACTAAATTTAAAACTCTTAAAAGAAAACACAGGAGTAAATCTTTATAATCTTAGGTTAAGCGATGGATTTTTTTAATACAATACTGAAAGTTCAAATAAAAAAAAAGATCAACTGGGCTACATCAAATTATAAACATTTGGGCTACAAATGTTACCATAAAAAAAAAATGAAAATACAATCCACAGAATGGGAGAAAATATATCATATTGCAAATCATATATCTGATAAGTTACCAGTATCCAGAACATATTTTAAAAAGCTTAACAGTCAACAGTAAAAAATAAATAAACAAATATCCCAAGGTCCCTGGGTTGCCCAGTTGGTTAAGCATCTAACTCTTGATTTTGGCTCAGGTCACAATCTCATGGTTCCTGAGATCAAGACCCAAGTCTGGCTCTGCATTGACAGCACAGAGCCTGCTTGGGATTCTCTCTCTCCCTCTCTCTTTGCCCCTTCCTTGCTCTCTCTCTCTCACTCTCTCTCAAAAATAGATAAATAAACTTAAAAAACCCTATTATAAAATGGGAAAAATATTTGAATAAACATTTCTTTAAAGAAGATATACAAATGGCTCATACATGAAAGATTCCCATCATTAGTTATCAGGGAAGTACAAATCAAAGCCACATTGAGATTCCACTTCATGCCTGTTAGGATGGCTAGTAACAAAAAGACAAAAACAAGTGTTGGCAAGCATGTGCAGATATTGGAACATTCACACATTGCTAGTGGGAGTGTAAAATGATCAACTGCTTTGGGAGGCAGGTTGCTAATTTCTCAAAATATCAGATAGTTACCATATTCTCAAGTGGGATGAAAGAATATTTCATTCTTTCCACACAAAAACTCACACACAAATATTTATAGCAGCATTATTTACAATAGCCAGAGAGTAGAAACAATGCCTATCAACTAATGAAAGGAAAAAAAAATGTAATTTATCTATAAAATGGAATCTTAGTTGGCAATAAGAAGAAATGAAGTACTGATGTTTGTTACAACATATGATAAACTGTTTTTCATCTACTATATGTGTGATCTTTCTGAGCTTCTGTTTCCTTTATCAACATAGGAGTAATAATTTTGGGGTTTTTTTCCATCCAACTTCTGGGCAAAATTATTGAGAGAGAAAACAGATGTTTCAAGTTCTCCTTAAAACACCAAGTAATTCTATGTCTGGAAGAAGAATCTGTTGATCATTTAAGAAATATTTAATAGAAAAATACAAATGATTAACAGAGGATGCTTACCTTTTCCTCAGAAAGGGCTTTGATGTATTTTTTACCCACTTTTTTCTTCATTGTCCAGGAAATAGCTCTCATTCTTTTCCCTAAACCTCCTCCATTATGTGAAGTCTTATTCTGTTCTCCATTTTCATTTATGGGTTCCCCTTCATATACCTAGTTAGAATTGTTTATAAAAGATAGAATAATAAAGCAATAGAAATAATTGATTTGAAAACATTATTAGAGAGCAGATTCCACATTTTTGGACTTCATATGCATCTGATACAGCAGTTTCTAAAATTTCAATCTGGACATAATACATATTTTCAAAGTTGTCTAAGCCTGGTTACATGTGTTACAAACTCAGAAAATCAAATTTGTGATGTCAAAGGACCTGAGCTTCACATCTAAAATTTTTTTAAATAATTATATCTATTCTTTAAATAGCTTTACAGTAGAGCCACTTTAGTTTTACCCATTTTGAGATGCAAAAAAATAGAATTAAATGGCAGGCATAATGAGTGATCAAGTCTACAGAGATGGGAGATACTTTGTTGGAAGCTTTAGAAAAGTTATAATGGGCATTAAAATATCCTCTTGATCCTTATAGAAATTGAAATGGTCATTTTTAAAAAAAAGTTTTGGAGTTAAGTTAATCCACTGAGAAAGTGCAATATATTTTTTATCTTTCAGGTAAGCATCCAATACATATTTTCCACGCTGTCAAGCAATAGTAAATATGAACTTGGTCCAGCCAATAGTACAAAAATCTTTATGTAATTAACATGTAATTTGTTGTTCTAAGCAGTTAATGTTACCTGATGATATATTTGTTTGTTTGATTGATTATTGCCTGCATCTCGCACTATGACGTGTGCTCCATGACACTGGAGAGTTTGTATTTTTTATTTATTCTGAATGTCTAGAATACTTCCAGGAACATAACTGACAATATTTTTTGAATAAATGAAACTTCTCATGTAGAACTTTGGAGTCATTTTTTTCTTGAAGGACATACTTGGATTATATATCCTTAATATCCCAAATTGGCAAGAAAGACCTTTTAAGGTCATCTAGTCTGGCATTGCCCACCATTTTCAGTGGATGGACAGCCAGATATTTCTTGAATATAAAGAAATCAGTAGAAACCTCTCTTTAGTGAATGTGAATATTTTAATATGAAGGTTTAACCACAAAATTAACATCATTATTAATCAATATTATGGTTTTTTTTCATATCTTACCCCAAATTGTCTATGATAAATATGAATGGACAGACAATATAAGTCCTTATTGAATTTTATTAATTTCTACCTTCAAGGTTATAAAGGCAAAGAGTTTTTGCTTAATTCAAAAGCCCTGAATAAAATGTAACTTGGAAACCCTTTAAATTTTTAAAGTTAGCCCTTTTCTTCTCTCTTCTCCCTACTTAAACTCTACCTTCTTTATAAAATTACAAACTAAAATAAAGTAAGAAAGTATATTGTTTTATAACCACCAGTGTTAAATTACCATTGCCTAAACTTCCAAAAAGTATCATAAATATTTGTAATTTTAGTTTTTTCTATCATTCTTTACAGAAGTTTCAAAGAAACTACCTCAGCATATTTTAAACTTGCACACTTTTCTGTAGTGTTCTCTTTCATAGCCTGCATCACAACTTTATTAGGTATTTATTTACAGTTGTTGCTTTTCTAAGGTCTCTCTCTCTCTAGACTTTGGGCTCCATGAATTAGGGATCTTCATCGGTTACTGCAGCAGTAACTTCTGAGTGCCTGCTGGAAACCCTGTCATAGACTAGGTACTCAGTGAATACTTGTTAAATGAATGAATGCTGAGTTGCTGAAAAACATCTTTTTTCAGGTTCACTAAATTCTTTCATGAATTACTAAGCCACCATTCCTAATCAATGAAACTGAATGACTCTGAACTGCTTTTGCAGGTTAACTCTAGAATTATAAAGTAAGTAATAGTAGGATACATCTATGTGTGATTATGGCAAGTTAAGTTTATATAAGATTATCATTGGAAATCAAATATAGGGTTTCTCACATAAGCCTGTGTATATAAATATACAGATGGGTAAATGGGGATATATATAATATACATATGCATAAAAGGGGATATATTATACACACATGCATGTATGTATACTAATGGATATATTTACAAAGTAATAATAGATGCCATTCTATTTTCATTTCTTTTGTTTAGAATTTCCATTCCTAAAATAAAAATATTTAAAAATAGGGGCACCTGGGTGGCTTAGTCAGTTGAGTGTCCGACTTCAGCCCAGGTCATGATCTCCTGGTTTGTGGGTTCAAGCCGCATCAGGCTCTGTGCTGACAGCCAGCCCAGAGCCTGGAGCCTGTTTTGGATTCTGTGTCTCCCTCTCTCTTTGACCCTCCCCTGCTCACGTTGTCTCTCTCTCTCTCTCTCTCAGAAAGAAATAAAATATTAAAAAATATTTTTAAAGCATGTAAAAATATTATAGATATATACACATAGGAATCTGAAAAGTATTTTGAGAAATTAAATATGATAAATGGAAAAATTCCTTACAAAAAACCAAAAAGTATGCATACAATAATGAGAATGAATAACTAAGAAATATGTAAGCTCCAAAACCTACTGATCTAAAATGTATCACATGTGAAGTTGCTGAATCAGGTTCAATGATAAACATGTATTTTTAGTTTTTTCAATATATATCCTTTATCCTTCCTTTCTACCATTTTATTAGTTGTTATACCTTTCATTAATCAGTTATTGCAATTAACTTATAGTTTGTGAGATAGTATAACAGGATGACAAACTTGATGTTTGAGATGTTGAGAACTCAACAGATGTTGAGTTCTGCCTTTGTCATTTATTAACCATGTAATTTAGAAGTAATTTTCCTCAATGAAATGTATTTCTTCAATGGTAAAATAGTAATATTAGTTGTTCCTACATTATTGGTAGGTAAAAGGTTTAGTGTTGTGCTATATGATGATAAGTTTTCAATGAAATATAGATATTATTATTACTATTACTATTATTATTACATAGACTTAATTTTATGGGAAATTTTTTCTCATGCTACATCTAAAGTGCCCATGATTTGCAAATGTGTATGTAACAGTCACTTATGAGACATTTCAGTGCATATAGTAGAAATGTGAGTACAATTGAGCAACTATATGCTCTCCTTGACAAACTTAAAACTAAGCCATGTAATTATGCAATTAAATTAAAACAATTACAACTTACATAAAGCTTAACATATACATTGCTTTATGGTGGAAATGTTCAGAAAACTTGGGATTATCTGTGTTACTTTAAATTGTAACTCTCTTCATAAGTTCATGTTCTCCTTTTCCTAACATGTTCGGTTTCTTAGACAGCTTTTCACTTTTAATACCCAGCATGATATTAGGTAATAAATCATTGCTTGTTCATTTATTAGAAAAATATAGGCAAGACTGTGATTTTTAAATATACTTATTTTTCTTAGTGTACTTTGCAAAATTGATATTGCCTTTATAATTTTTCATAAGATGTTTGCATAACAATAATAATAAAAATACTAACCTCAGCTGAGTCATCTGGTTTTGAAATGGAATTATTCCGAAAACGATCGAAATTCCCAAAACTGCTGCTGCGCTATAAAACAGGAAAGAGAAAGGAAAGGACATTTAGGATTTGTGATCTTCTCTGATAAAATTACTAAACATATTAGACTATGGTTCAATAAGTGTCCGTATATTGAAAATATAGGATTAAAAAAGCCCTTCTCTCTGGAATATCTAAAGGCACTGAAGGTATAACTATTATTAACATTATAATATTTACAGTCGATAAAATGCCATCATATGTTTTATGCTATTGTGTTAAGCACATTGGAGAAAATCTATCAAATTATTTTCAGTTTATAGTGTTATAGTGTTCTGCTCTTGGGAATGGTAGCTGGAGAATCTATGAATTCTAAGCTGAGCCTTCTTGAAGTAAGCCAACCACAAACCTATTTCCATGAGGGAATGGCAAGAATTATGAACCAACTGACTAATAAATAAATAACAACTAAACAAACAAACACAGGCATCTGAGTAGATCCATCAGCATGCCTCATAAGGATCATATTTGTCAAGAAACCAAAACTGAACACAAATACATTTATCACTGATAACTTGATCATTTGAGACTCTCCACTTGGTGTCAGAAAGAGAAGGCGTACACATAGACCTATTCATAAATTGAGAGCAGGATTTAGGCGCGCACAGTCTAAAGCTGGGAGTAAAACTGACTTTGTCCGCATTTAACATGGAATACAATGAGACCATGGCGCAATTTCATTCGCTGGTTTTGAGAAAAAGCTCAACATGTTAATAGAAGACTTGTTCCCTTGGATACTTTTTGCCTACAAAGCTAAATTTTTACTCTCATGTAACTCATTCTAGGCGGGTAATTATAAATAATCCCTGACATGTTACAGAGTAACATTATTCTCCTAAATACATGTTCAACAATCTTTAGAGTCATTGAGTCAAAGCACTGATGTGTCTTTACTACCTATTTACTTTTAGCCATTGTTTGGAATGGTGGCTATCTGATATTATGCCCTTCATGTACCCATAAATCCTAAGAATATGTTCTATGTTGAGAACTTAATTTCATCTCAAGCTTATAATATTTTCAAAACAAGCTGGTGATGTGAAAAGTTAACAATGGGCATCTGTAACTGATAAAACCTTGTATCTTCCTTTCAGAAGTCACAGCCCAGATTAGTTCAAATCACCTTCAAAGGCTCTTCGTTCTTCCAAGCACTCTTAGACTATATTTCCCCACCAGCTATCTTTAAAACTCCTTGTTTCCCTTTTAAAGGAGCTGAAAATAAAAAGATCCTGACGTGTGACAAGGGGTTAGCTTGATAGACAGTGTGATACATAATATCGCTTTGAGGATGATGGCTGTGTTAGACACAATTAACGCCTTTTCCTGACTCGCCACCCCTGCTGAACCAGCTCTTCGGCTTGTGGCGAGAAGAGAGAAAGAGAAGGGCTGAGACTGAGAACCACACTGGAAAATACAAAGTCTTCTCATGCCGGGCTGACTAACCTAGAATGACTTCCCAGAGCATTAATCACTTCAACCTGCCTAGTAGGCATTTCCATGGGGCTATCATTGCCCAGAGATCACAAAAAAGAATTGAGTGTATTGTTGTCCTGCTTATAAACAATCCAAACACAGGGAAGTCTGTTTCTCTCTTATATACTTGAAACATTCTGAAGGCCTATTGGAGCCTATGCCTGGGGCGATTTTGTAGCCTGCATCCAGCCTGCGTCCTGCTTATTAAATATTAATGAGGGTTACAGCATGATTTCCACCACTGGATAATGGGTCCTGTTGCCCAGGAGGGCACAGAATAGGCTCACTTCAGCATTTCTCAACACTACCTTCTGCCATTAAGTAATCAATAGTCACCACCTTTTAAAATTAATTCTCCCCTCATTATATCAATAAAGAGAAGCATATTTAGAAGTAGGGGCTTAAGAAGTCTCCAGACTATTACTTTGGGTTTTGTCAGTCATCTCATTGCAAATCACTCGACAACTTTAAGCCTGAGGAGTATAATATCAATCCATGATAAGACTCTGTTAAGAAACAAATCAAAGCATTTAAAATGCTGTTTTTAAAATTTCATTATTCTCTAGTCTAAAAGTTAGCGACTTTCTGAGGTGGTTTTGTGATGTATAGGTTATGGCTTATGATGAAAAGGGCTAATGTCTACTATGAGGTATGCACAATGAACAAATTTATAATTTCTACTCCTATTAAGTTTCTAACAAAAAGGTGAATCATGTGGAAGCAAGCTGGCTTCCTAGATAATAGTCCTTGATAAATGAGAATGTGTTTGATTATCAATAATTTTGCATTGTATAATCACAATGGATTAGATTTAGCAAATATTATCTTATGACAGAAGCTCTCTTCAAGACAGAGCTATTATATAAACGAATAGCTATCAATGGGAAGAGTAACAAGTAAAAATGCAATTTGTATTTTAGATAAGTCTTTGTTTCTGTTGACATTAGATCATATTTGGTCATTAATTCCGTCCTCTCTCTATTTATGCAGTTTTTCTTTGTGCATCTGTAAAATGGCACAACATTAGTGGAGGGTAGTTTGGCAAAACTAGCAAAATGGCTAACATATTTGCCCTTTGACCCAGCAATTCCACTCCTAGACATCTATACCAGAGATACTCTAAGCTATAAATTGATTTACATATCTACCTTCATTGTGAAATTTCTATATTATAAAAAAGCTGTAAACCCTAATGTTTATCAAGAGAGGACAGGTTGAATAATTTATGGTAAATCCAAACAATTAATGATGAAACTGTAAAAAGTCAAAATGTATCTCTTTATCTTGCTATGGAATAATCTCCAGGATGTAGTATAAGTGGAAAAAAGGCCAACATTTATCTAAGGGTTTGAATATATGCTTGGGTTTTAATACAGGCAAATACATATTTTCTTTTTTTTTTAAAATGGGGCAAATTGAATATACCTTGTTTTATAGAATTGACTTTAAAACCATGTAATGTTTAATATTTTTAGCAAAATTAAATAAAATAAAAACAATCTCAAAGTGGGGCTGACTCTTGATTTCAGCTCAGGTCATGATCTTATAGTTCTCTCGAGTTCAAGCCTGGTATCAGGTATCTGATAGTGCAGAGCCTGCTTGGAATTCTCTCTCCCTCTCTCTTTGCCTCTCCCCCTGCCTCTCCCCTACTTGTGTTCTCTCTCTCTCTCTCAAAAACAAATGAATAAACATAAAAAAATGCCATTCCCCGGGGTGCCTTGTGTCTCAGTCCACTGAGCATCTGACTCTTGATTTTGGCTCAGGTCATGATCTCACAGTTGGCCTCTACACTAACAGTGTAGAGCCTGCTTAGAATTTTCTCTCTCCTTCTCTCTCTGCCCTTCTCCTGCTCAAGTGCATGCTCTCTCTCTCACACACACAAAATAAATAAGCTTTATAAAGTTTATAAAGATAAATAAATACAAAATAAAAGCAATCACTAAAAATCTCAAATAAAAACAAAACAAATTAACCTAATTCTGTGTTGAATTGGTGGCTTAGAGAGAAGAATTATTTTAAGTGATTTTTAAGAACAATAATCTGTCCAAAGAACAGAAAACAATGACAAATTAAATGTTAACCCATTTTCAGTAATCATACTGTTATTAATAATATAAGTATATAAATACATATGTTGAGTGACAGTGAAAATAAGTAATGATGTTAATACATTTGCAGTTAAGATTCTCAGTCAAAATTCTCAAATTGGTCATAGCATAAAAAAGTAAGCTTTCAAAGCCTACTAGGGTCAAGTCAAAACAGCATAGGGGCCGTTCTGGAAATACTCTCACTGGGGTAGATTATATCCAAAGATAAGATAATTTTTATATCAATAAGAATAATAAGTGAATATTGAAATATATCAATGCTCATGAGTTCATAATGATACCAAAAGGAAAAAAATTCAGTGGCCACATTTGGAAATGTTACAGTTATATTATGAAAATTGGCAAATAAAGGGAAATACTTAAACATTTAATCTGCTTTTCATGTATGAAATATATTTCAGAGTAAATAGTTAATGAAGAAAAATTTATCTTTCTGTGTGTGTGTGTATTCTAGCTAATCAATTAAGAATGATGAGATTACAGAATTACTGAAATCCCTGATGCAATAATGGATCCCAGAAATGATACTCAATGGCTACTAGAATTACAAAAAGAGAGAACCAGAGTATGTGTTTCATAATAGTAGCACCCAACTCACCAGCGAAGTATCTAGTAAATAAATAAATAAAAGCAATTACACCAAACTTCTAACTACCAGATTACAGGAAATACAGAGACAAGGGAGCATTTTAAATGACACCAAAAGGATACAGTGAATAAGAAAAATCTAGACAATGAGAAAATCTTCAGGAAAAAAGGCTGGTTTCTTCAATTAATCAATAGAAAGAGGGAACACATAGACTAATAACCTCTAAGACTTGTATAACCAAATATAACCCATGGATCTTGTTTAGATAAAGATTAAAGAAACCACTATGACAAAAAAAGGCCAAGATAAAACAGGAAATTTTTAGAATAACTATTTGATGATACTGAGTAAGTATTGTTATTTTTTACTTGTAATTCAGGGTAACCAAGTGAGGGGCAGCAAGTGTATGGGCATAAAGAAAAAACATGACTGGCCATTTTTTAATGATTAACTGGGTGATAGATACATGAGGTAGATTGTACTACTCTCTTTTTACATATTCTTTTTTTTTTTTTATTTTTAATGTTTTATTTATTTCTGAGAGAGAGAGACAGCATGAGCAGAGGAGGGTCAGAGAGAGAAGGATACACAGAATCTGAAGTAGTCTCCAAGCTAGTTGTCAGCACAGAGCCCGACGTGGGGCTCGAACCCACAAATCGTGAGATCATGACCTGAGCTGAAGTCGGATGCTTAACCAACTGAGTCACCCAGGTGCCCCTCTTTTTACATATTCTTGAAGTTTTCCCTGGTAAAATGTTGGGCTAAAAGAAAAAAAGAGAGATGCACCTATATAATATCTGAAAAATAAGTTACAAAGAGTT